GACGATGTGGGTGAGACGATGTGGGTGAGACGATGTGGGTGAGACGATGTGGGTGAGACGATGTGGGTGAGACGATGTGGGTGAGACGATGTGGGTGAGACGATGTGGGTGAGACGATGTGGGTGAGACGATGTGGGTGAGACGATGTGGGTGAGACGATGTGGGTGAGACGATGTGGGTGAGACGATGTGGGTGAGACGATGTGGGTGAGACGATGTGGGTGAGACGATGTGGGTGAGACGATGTGGGTGAGACGATGTGGGTGAGACGATGTGGGTGAGACGATGTGGGTGAGACGATGTGGGTGAGACGATGTGGGTGAGACGATGTGGGTGAGACGATGTGGGTGAGACGATGTGGGTGAGACGATGTGGGTGAGACGATGTGGGTGAGACGATGTGGGTGAGACGATGTGGGTGAGACGATGTGGGTGAGACGATGTGGGTGAGACGATGTGGGTGAGACGATGTGGGTGAGACGATGTGGGTGAGACGATGTGGGTGAGACGATGTGGGTGAGACGATGTGGGTGAGACGATGTGGGTGAGACGATGTGGGTGAGACGATGTGGGTGAGACGATGTGGGTGAGACGATGTGGGTGAGACGATGTGGGTGAGACGATGTGGGTGAGACGATGTGGGTGAGACGATGTGGGTGAGACGATGTGGGTGAGACGATGTGGGTGAGACGATGTGGGTGAGACGATGTGGGTGAGACGATGTGGACGAGATGATGTGGGTGAGATGATGGGGACGAGATGATGTGGACGAGACGATGTGGGTGAGATGATGTGGGGGAGATGATGTTTTGACTCCTGGTGGGTCGGCCTGACCCTGCGTATCGGGTCTGGTTGCTGGATTCACAGCTGACTCACCTCCCCCATCACTTCCCACAGGCCTTGCAAAGGAAACTTCGGAAAAACGTAACCCCCTCTTCACATAAGTACATGTGTTCTAAGATGTAAAATAGTAGGATTATTATTTTTTGTCAGATTCATTCAGGGCCTCTATCTATCAGATTATAAGTCATTTTTAGGAATCGTAGATGCTCCCATTTCAATGCCCTGGAGGCACCCTCGCTAGCACCCACATTCCCACCAGACACTTCGAGGCTGTGAATTGCTATCCTGGCCTCCATCCTGGCCCTTCCTCCCTGTCCTGGGAAGCGCCTGAGAAGTTCTAACAAACGCCCCATCTCCCCCCAGAAGGGAGGGGTGTTCCCCCTCCCCCTCTCGCCTGCCCCCCCAAATGTACCATTTTACAGTGCACCCACCCTGTGACCTCGGGGAGCACCTTCAATTAGCCAAACTACCTGGCAGGGAGGGTCCTTGCTTGGGCTAAAATATCAGGAAGAACAGGAATAGTTGACGTTTGGTGTCTGTCTTGATTTTTATTTATTATTTGTAAATTATATATATTGATTATTAATTTGGGATGGCAAATCCACTTTATCTTGTTCGTTCTGCATATATATATATATATACATATATATATGCATATATAATCTTTATGGATTTCAGAGAGAGCAAGGGAGAGGGAGAGAGAGAAATATCTATGGTGAGAGAGAATCATGGATCGGCTGCCTCCTGCACGCCCCCTACTGGCGATCGGGTGCCCTGATTGGGGGGGGGGGAATTGAACCATGACCTCCTGGTTCATATAGGTCAGCGGTTCTCACCCTGTGGGTCGCGACCCCTTTGGGGGTCCAACGACCCTTTCACAGGGGTCGCCTGAGACCGTCGGAAAACACATCTATAATCACATATTGTTTTTGTGATTGATCACTGTGCTTTCATGATGTTCAATCCGTCACCATGAAAATCCATCCTGCAGATCAGATATTTCCATGACGATGCGTCACAGCAGCCACATGACAGTGACGAAGCAGCCACGAAAATAATGTTACGGTTGGGGGTCCCCACAGCATGAGGAGCTGTATTCAAGGGTCGCGGCCTTAGGAAGGTTGAGAATCACGGATAGAGGTTGACTTCCAACCACTGAGCCACACCAGCCGGGCTGGTGTCCTTCTTTAAAAGGGGGGTAATCTGTGCGCCACGGGCCCAGGAGACGAAGAGGAGGAGGTTGGGGAGATTCCTGGAGGCGCCAGACCCAGGTCTGAGCGGGGGTTCCCTGGGGAGTGGGGGTGGCGGGGGGCAAGCTCGGGGTCCCCATCTCAGGTGTGGCAGGGTCCAGACCCTATGGATCTGCAGGGAAGGCCGGGTCCCTGTAGTTTTGGGGGCGCAGCAGCTTGGGGCTCACTCCCTCGTTCCTGGAGATCTGGCCTGTACCCCCGAAGCTGGAGGCAGGCTCGGTGAGGGGAGAAAAGAGATCCTGCCACTCAGAACCCCAGACATTTGCCCTGGCCCAGATCCTCTCCATCATAGTCCCGTGTCCCCAAAGAAGACTTCCCTTGCAGACGGGTTCCCCCGGCTCTGTTGGGGCGCATCCCGCCCCCCGCCCTCCGGCCTGCTGTGGGGT